GTGAATCGAAGGCAAGCTCTGTGTTGGTCCTTTTCCAAACTTCCGGATTCATAACCACATTTATTTATTTATGACACCGTCCACGAAGCCCTTTGTGGCATGAGTCAGCTACAGGAATGCTGGACCTTCCTTGGGTTGCCACTGGACTCGGGTGTGGGGGATGCCACAACTCTTTAGATCCAAATTTAGCAGCTTCATACTCCATGAAGTACATACCCGTTTGCTGTAAGTTTTTTAAATCAGATTCTAGATTTCTGAAAATGACTCATTCTACTAGTTTTCGCTAGCTTGATAGTTACTTCATCATTTTCATGGCAATACCATTTTCCAGTATGAATTCAATTCATTTCATTTTTACAGGACTATTTTGTAATTCCTCCCTGAATGGATTTGTAGTTGGTTTCTTTCAAACTTAAAGTTTTTAAACTTAGAGCCGTAGACTTGTTTGTAGAATCCTTTCATTGACCTTTTAATTTGGATAAGGTCTGTAGTGATAAACCCACTTATTATTCTATTTTCTTTTTCTTGGTCATTTCAGTTATGGTTTTATTAATTTTATTTATCTTGTCAGAAAACCAAATTTTAGTGTTATTGCTTGCCAGTCACAAAGTGCTCAGGTATGGTAATTTTTCAGATATCTTTCTGTTACTGATTTTTGGTATATGTCACTTATGACGAGTATATATTTTCTAGGCTTTCAGTTGTTTTGTTTGTTTGTTGAAAGTGTGTTAGGCCAAGAAAAATGCTGCTCTGTTGGTGAACATCCCATGAAAAAGAGTGAGACCCTTTACACATGTATACGTCTCCTCGCAGGATCATGGTTTAGAATTTTTTAAAACTGCCCTTTCTCTCTCCCAGCCCTATGAGCCACCATTTCCACTCCCACCGTGTCCTAATAATGGCTGTGTCAGGACGAGTCGTTGTTGATGTTTTACATCTATTAGCCACTGCTTATGCTTTACTTTATTTTTTTCCCTTGGTTTTGATAAAGTGTGCTATCGATTGATTTGTAGAATAGGTGCCTAGTATGTATGATTTTTAAATCTTTATGAACACATCTTTATTTTTCCTTTATCTTGAACGAGAATTTGGCAGGGTAGGCATGGAGTTCTAGATTCAATTTTTTTTTCAATTAGAACCTCATGGGCATTCTTTGCTTTGTCTTTTAGCAGATATTTGTGTATATGAAAAGTCATATGTCAGTTTTGGGGGGAGAACGGCTTTGTATGCCCATAAAGAGTTACAGTCTCGGAAACCCCCAGAGGCAATTCTGTCCTGTAGGGTCACGATGAGTCGGACCCAACTGGAGGGCAGTGAGTGGTGACAGTTTCATTCTTATTTTCTTAGGTATGGTCATCTCAGTGCTGAGGTGGGATTGTTGTGCCCTGGGGATACAGTATGTTGCCTTTTTTAAAACCCATAGATAGTACAAATCAATAAAATGTTGTATTTGTAGCACAATCTATCGTTTCTCACATTGGCTATTTTGTGTCCATATCGACAGGCCCTGAGTCAGTTCTTTGTCTTTGTGTGGAGAACTCTTTGCATAAAT